AAAATTAAAAAGGTCCCCAGGGCCTGTGCTATGAACTATTTAGTGCCGCCTTCCAAAGGTGTACGACAGGGTTCACTTTTTTGTCCAAAAAACTATCAAAACAATGTTTTACGCTACCAAATAGTATTATATTATTCAAAATAGGATCTGCTGCAAATTATGAACTCAAATATGTAACAAAACATTGCATAATTAAAAAGTTGTAAAATGTTAAACTCTAAAAATGTTGGTATTTTCATACACTTTTTTGCTACATCAATTGTTTTACGGAAGTAAAACACCAATTTCCGGTTCTTGTACACCAAAAATCTTTTAATATTATTTGGTGCATTATGTTGAGATACGATAGCGAAAAATTCAGAAAATTTGAGAACCGGTAAATTTGTCATATAAATGTCAAATTGTAGAAACATTTATTTCCAAATAAAATCCAACAACCTTATGACCTATAGCCATGTTTGATAATTTAACAATACGTCGCACCAATTTATTATCGCAACTGATCAAATTTTCATCAATAAGGTCTGCTGCTCATGATGAGCTCAACTATAAAGCTAGATGTTGCAAAATAAAAAAGTTATGCAGTCTCACACACATAAAAGTTTAGTATGTTATGTACATTTTAAGTTGTTTCGCATCTTTACGGAAGTGAAAGACATACTTTCGGTTTTTGTACACCAACATACTTTGGATATTATTAGGCACATTATGCTGACTGACGATAGTAGAAATTTCGAAAAAAATGGTAGTCGGTAAATGTGTCATCTTAAGGATAATATGTTGTATGACCAATGTCAAAATAAATCTTCAATAACTACAGATCAATGCAATTATTTCATAATTAACCCAAAATCATTCCAATATACTATCAAGATGGATTATATGGTTTATAGTAGAGTATGACTGTTTAACTAAACTAGGTGGTTAAAGGGGGCATACAGCAAAAGTTAGGCAATTTGTCAGAACATTTGGTGTACCAGTATAATATGTTGAAGCCTTGCTAGCCCACAAAATTGTTTCTTTTAGGAGAGTTATAGTTTCCAATTGATGGATTGTTGTATTTACTGTTGTTTTTTTTTGTTTTTTTTTAATTTGACAACACATAGTCAAAATTGGCTATTCAAAACATTTTTCTGAATTTCTGCCTCCTCAGTTCAATCTTAGGTCTTATTATTTTTTCATATTATTCCCGACAAGTTATTGGCCAGAAGTGCATCACGTGTTCATCGATAAAAACCGACATTGACTTGGAGCGCGTGATTTTTGTTGAAAGACTGGGTGTTTATAAAAATAGAATTATGACGTGTCCCCAAACAATGCACCATCCCACTTCCGAAGCTTTTTTTTTCTTTTTTTTTTCAGATTGCTTACATTACTGTCTTGTTAAACAATAAAACAATTGTAGCCTTTAACTTCGGTCAATACCTGGATTTATCAACCTGAGAAAAGATATATTGACCTCGGACTGCGTCCTCGGTCATTATATCTTTTCTCGGGTCGATAAATCCAGGTATCGACCTCAGCAAAAGGCTATAATTTAATAATGGTTCTTTTTTGAATGCATTCACAATATGCAGTCTCTGAATTTGCGAGCTTTAGGCTGGAGCGTTTTAGCATCTGTTAAATGTGCATAGTATCCTAGATAATACAGTATTGATGCGACATGAGTCTTTCCTGCAGGACACACACAATAGTATATGCCTTGACAGGATCCTCTGATGCGTGTAGGTCAAACTCTATCCAGACATTGTATTTTGCCTGCGACCTGTGGCGATAATGTAATTGGCCTCGCAGAAGGTCATCAGCATGCGGATACACCCATATCTCATAATCACCCCCATCTGTCTGATGTTCTGTGATATAGCCAGGTGCCAGCTTCAGCTGATATGTACCACAAGCCAAAGTCGCATTGACCTGTAGTTATTGAAGATTTATTTTGACATTGGTCATACAACATATTATCCTTAAGATGACACATTTACCGACTACCGATTTTTTCGAAATTTCTACTATCGTCAGTCAGCATAATGTGCCAAATAATATCCAAAGTATGTTGGTGTACAAAAA